CTTCCTCAGAACTGAGGAAGGGTCACCGGACCCGAAACGTTAACTCTGTTTTTTCCTTCACAGATGCTGCCAGACCGGCTGAGCTTTTCCAGCAATTTTGTTTTTGTTCCTCAAAGAAACATCATCTGATGGCTGTGCCCAAACTCTGATCTCCACTGCCAGCACTGTCTAGATTGAGACTTGAGTGCTGCACCTTCTGACCTAGGGTGAGGGAATACTATGACTGAGGTACAGACTCACTTAATTCTTGCAATAGGTAGACAACACGGCAGGTAATAAATGGCGAAAGGAATCTCATGAGACTATAATACACAGGAGCAGAAGTAGTCTATTCAGCCCATTGAATCTGCTCCATCATTCGTTCAGATCGTGGCTGATCTGATAATCCTCAACTCCACTTTCCTGCCTTATCCCCATAACCTTTGACTCCCTTACTCATTAAAAATGTCTTTCCCAGCTTTGAACATAATATAATGACCCAACCTCAACAGTCCTCTGTGGTAAAGAATTCCACAGATTCACGACCCTCGGAGAGAAAAAAAAAATCTTCATCTCTATCTCTAATGTGTGACTCCTTATTCTGAGAGTTCCTAAGCTTGTTAAAATGGCTAGAGCAGTTAGGCCTTTGTCCAAATGAATGCACACCAACACCCCCTCACAACCCCTTACCTGTCCCTCCTCTGGACTGTGAAATTACTTGGATCGCAGTTTATCATATCAAAACATTCTCTAACACTTTGCACAAATTACATTGACTTTAAAGTTCAGTGGCTGTTTGTTTTGTTCTCGTGATTTGACAAATCTGCCAGGGTCAGGTGCTAGTACGATCAGTGTGCCAGTTGCTCTTGTGTGGATGTGGAAGGAGAGGGTTGGCTACTGGGAGGGGAGGGAAGGGGAGTGGATGGGAATGTGCAGCTGTTTGACCTGGGAATTTAATCCAGAATGGCAGCTTTCTCTCATGGGCTGCAATGTTGAGTTTGCAACTTCAAATTGATGGCTGATTTCAGCAACTGTATCTTGTGCTGTCGAGTTCTCCTTCTCAATCCTTTCTGGCTGTAGGCTTTTGAAGAATTCCTCAAATTCTTTCTTGAACAGTGTTTTAATCCCTCTCTTTTACTCTGTCTGTAAAGCACATGGAAATTCTTGTTCTTTTCTGACAGTGAGAACGAGACATATTTGAATACTTTTTTTGAACTTAGCTGGTTCCCACTCCAAAGACGTGAGAAATTGCAACAGATTCGGGGTAGCACAGTGGTTAACCCTGCTGCCTCACAGCTCCAGGGACCCGGGTTCAATTAAACCCTCGGGCGACTGTCTGTGTGGAGTTTGTACATTCTCCCTGTGTTTGTGTGGGTTTCCTCCGAGTGCTCTGGTTTTCTCCCACAGTCCAAAAATGTGCAGGCTTGGTGGATTGGCCATGCTAAATTGCTCATAGTGTTCAGGGATGTGTAGCTTAGTTGGGTTATAGGGGGATGGGCCTGGGTGGGATGCTCCAAAGGTCGGACTTGTTGGGCCAAAGGGCCTGTTTCCACACTGTAGGGATTCTATGATTCTAATAGAATGCAAGGTATTACAACACTTTTGACTATGACATTAAACCAAGACTGTCTCTTCTGACAGAGTGATTGTAGAGGTCCCCAGTCACCATTAGAAGTAGACCAGGGCGTTTTCCCTGGTGCATTGGCTAATATTTATTCTTCAGTGTTATTCAAAACCAAAGTATCTGGTCATTACCCTATAGCTGTTTGCTGTGTGCAAGCTGGTACTTTATTTGCCTACATTATACTTTTTAAAAAAAACTAAAGCCCCAGATGGGTCTGGATGCTCAGACATTATGAATATATAGAAATTGATAATCATCAGAGTTCGTAGAATCACTGCAGTCTGGAAGCAGGCCATTCGGCCCACCAAGTCCACACCGACCCTCTGAAGAACACCTCATCCAGACCCAACCCCTACCCTATCCCTGCAGTCCCGCACCTCCCATTGCCAACCCACCCAGCCCACACATTCCCAGACCATGGGAGGAAACTGAAGCACCTGAAAGAAACCCACACAGACATGGGGAGAATGTGCAAACTCCAAACATCTTTCCTACAGCTACTGTGTCTAAGTGAATTGGGGTATCTAGGGATAATGAAGGTGGAGTTTAGGCAGATCAGTTTATGTTGAGTGGCTGAGCAGATTCGGTGGACTGAGTTGTATAATCCATCTTCTATAATTTTATATTCTTTACTTTTTTTTTGTGCTGACTGAGGGGAGCCACATAAATTGAATATCTTTTAAAACTTGCTGATTGGGGTCCCTCTGGACTGTAGCTGCTAGAGGAGCTTCCAACTCATTTGTAATTAACACTGAGGTTAATGTTTAGATTCTGTATTCACGAGATTGGCAAACTTGACACACGTTGCAGGGGGAGAGATCATAGGATGTCGGAAGGGGATTTGCTACCACTGTTATCTGTCAGTGACATTAATTTGTCGCCTCAGAATCTTGATTATTCCTTGAGCCATTGAATCCAAATCCTACTCTCGTGACACGAGCAACAAAATGTACACCAATGCAACACCGAGGGAATGCTGCACTGACAAAGGTTCTGTCATTTGGGTGAGAAATTAATCTGAGACTTTCTTCTCAAGGTGTAAAAATCCTGTGACAATGTTGTGAAGACAAGTTTGGGTATCATCTTTGATGGCGTGGTCAATATTTATTCCCAAAACATTATTATAGAAACAGATTCTTTGGTCACTACCGTATTGTTGTTTTGGCAGCTTACCACATGCAAATTGACTGCCAAGATTATAACAGTGACCACACTTTTTGAAACTACTTAATTTGCCGTAAAACACAGTGAGATATCTTGAGATTGTGAAAGTTGCTATAAAAAAATATTTTTTAAAGACATTACTTCAAATGCATCTCTTGGGTCAGGTATTTTGTCACCTCTCCTCATGTCTCCTTTGGCTCCACGATCACTGTGTTTGATAGCATTCCAGTGCATCATATTTGCCATGTTAAAGATGCTATATAAATGCAAGTTATTGTGTTTTGCAGCAGCTGCTGACTGCATTCATACTGAAGATGGGAATGACGCTGCAAGAGCTGGGACTCTGGTGTCCCGGGAGGAGGAGTTACACGAAGCTCGTCTTAGTGCTAAGGCGAAGAGGAAGTTGAGGAAGAACTCATCACGTGACTCCGACTCCAGCCATGAGTCCTTCTCTGACAATGTGGAAGCTCCTGGCATTAAAGGCAAAATGGGAGACAAGAAATCACGGTCTGGGAAAGGCCGGGGGCTTCCAAAGAAAGGTAAGTGGGAAAGTTCAGGCAGGGCCGGTCGAGGGGGCTTGTGGTTGAAACTTGAGTGCGAATTGTAGGTCTTTCTTCAGATTTCCATTTCCACTTATCAGACGGACTCTGTATCCTGTCTAAGACCTCAATGGCCTTGTTATAGTATGGAACGCAATGTGACTTGCAATGATAATGGACATGGATTAATATATGGAATTGACTTGCTTTGAGGGGCCCTTCTAAAAGAGTCTGTTCAAAAACCATGTGTCAGTAAGCAATGTTAATGTGGGATTTGTAACTGTTTCAATACTGGTTTTCTTCTTCCAGTGCAATGACGGATTCTGATTCACCCTCGCTCTCCCCAAATACAATGAGTTACACTGCAATAAGTCAAGTCTCGCCAGTGTCAGCGTTGCCATCCCTGGTCGGACGATTTTCTGGGATATTTCCCTGATGACCTGACACCACCTACCACCCAATCCCAAGCTACCACCATCAGTTATTCAATGCATCAATTGCTTTTGATGGTTGCTGCAATGCACTGAGTTTTTGAAACTGTTCTGTCCATTCTGTGAAAATTGAAAGAACTGTGGATGCTGTAAATCAGGAACAAAAACAGAAGTTGCTGGAAAAGCTCAGCAGGTCTGGCAGCATCTCTGAGGAAAATATCAGAGTTGACGTTTCAGGTCCGGTGACCCTTCCACAGAACTGTTCTGAAACGTCAAGCTGATATTTTCTTCACAGATGCTGCCAGACCTGCTGAGCTTTTCCAGCAACTTCTGTTTTTGTTCCTGCCCATTCTGTAATTTTATTAGAGTGAGTATGTGCCAGGGTCATAAAGGTCTACGGCACAGAAAATGACCCTTCGGCCCATCGAGTCTGTGCCATTTTATAGCATTGAGCCCAGGGTCCAGATTCACCCCCGAGAATATAGCAGCCAGAGAGGAACAAGAATGCCAAATACATCTTCCTCTCCCACAAACGTTAACCTTTAATTCTGGGAAAGGCCAGGCTAAGCCAGGGAGCATTAGCATCTCTGACCCAGTCCGAGTCATCACTGCCACAAACTTACAATCTGGTGCGCCTGCTCAGGGTGCCACCAGAGGGGGCTGTTCTCCCCCAACTGCAGCTTCACTGTCTACGCTTCAGACTGTTCATGTAGGGAAGGAGCGAATTTTTTTTTAAATGAAAGAGATTAGGATGGATGATACTTATGAAGGACATGAATTGCAGCAAATAAATAGACTTGGAGAACAACAGTATCACTAAGATGGTCAAAGATTAAGTGAAAGAAACTGCTATTAAAAATGTTATTGGGATCAGCAGTGCACAGTGTGTCTGCAATAAAACAGAGGAGTTGGAGGCAATATAACATGGTGAGGAAATAGATATGTCAGGGATCACTGAATCATGACCACAGAAAAATTGGGACTGTGAATTAAACATTGCAGTGCGTCACGTATTTGTAGCGAGGAGGAGGCTGGAGTAGCTGTATTTGGAGTCATAGAGTCCTAAGGCATGGAGACAGGCCCTTCAGCCCAAACTGGTCCATGCTGACCAATATGTCCATCCACGCTAATCCCATTTCCCTGCACTTGGCCCATATCCTTCTAAACTTTTCCTATCCATGTATTTGGGATATGCCTTTTCAACGTTGTTAATGTACCTACCTCAACCACTTCTGCTGGCAGCTCATTTGCAATTGTATTAAAAAGTGATGCAGATATTGGTAAGACAGAAATACAATCCTTGCTAATAAAGACAAAATGATAACAAAAGATTAATCACACTAATTGTTATAGACTACAGTTCATTGAACTGTGGAAGGGAGATAGAAGAATAAGGCAAATTAGGGAGATGGATTAAAAAGCATATGGGGGATTTTAACTATACCAAATATAATTGGCTAGAAGGAATGGGTGAAAGGATTAAGGGAATAAAGTCCCTATAATGAATTCTTTCTAACCTGGCATTTAAGAAACCCAGCAAGAAAGATTTTGCTGCTGGATCTGTTAATAGGGAACAAACCAATGCAAGTAAGAGTAGTACAAGTTGGAGAATAATTTCGAATATAGTGACCATAATATAACAGAGATTAGTGTAGTAATTGAGAAGGACATGAGACTGACATAGATCTGGTTAATAATTTGGAGAAAAGCCAAGTTGGAGGGCCTGAGAATAAAACTTTGGGAAGTAGAATAGATTATAATTTTGGCAAACAAAGAGAAATGTTTAAAATGTTCAGTAAAGACTAAGTAAAATACATATTTAATTAAAAGAAAACGCAAGTTATTGAGGGTGAAAGGAATATAAGTTTAAGATGAAGGTGGATGGGATGAGGGGTGAGTGGTACGCAAACGTGAGGTGGCCATGTTTGAGTCGGAGAGCCTGTTTCTGTGCCATGTACTTATTCTGTGTCATTCACACAGTATTGTAGTGAGGCAGTGGCACAGTGTGCCTTCTGTGAATATGAGGATTGATCTGATGCAGATTTTGTGTGTGTTGAAGGAGGTGCTGGCGGTAAAGGTGTCTGGGGTGCTGCAGTTCAGGTGTACGATGCGGAACAGCCGGATATCCATGATCCCAACTATGATGATGATAAACAGGTATTCTTGGTTTGGTCTCAAATTTACACAGTCAAGTGGCCTTTAAAATGTTAAAAGGACTAGATATGTAGCCTGAGGAAAGCTTTTTTTCTGGTGGAGGGCTCCAGAATATAGGATTTCTGTACAATGTTGTTATATATCCCCACTACATTTGGGAGCTTGTGAAAGCCACTGCTATTTATACCAACTTCCATGATTGGAAATATTGTAGGAATGTTTGATAGATGCCTATTGCCCTTCTGTGGAGAGATGAAATGAAATTATTCCATATCCTTTTATCTTTTGAAATAGTTTGGTAACAAGGGTATATTGAAGATGTCTGGTTAGTATTTTATTAAATTAAATCAATGAGATAATGAAATACTGTGCAATTATTTACATGCAGTGTCTTTAGGTAGGAATACTGTCTTACTCCAGAAGAAGCCATCTTTTGTTTTTCACAGTAACTTCAGAAAGAGTAAATTGAAGAGTTGTATTTTGAGTTTCTCTTCATTTCAGAGGATAAATGTGGCAAGATGATAAATTACCAGTTAGATTATTTGCTGTTGTATGTTGCATATGCATTTGGTATAGTTATCGCTTCCAAACTATCCTGTTTAAGGAAACATTCTTCTATCTACACTAGCAACCAAAGTTCCTACTTCACAATCTGCCTTTGCAAATGCTTGTCTCTTTTAGCAACCCCCTGACTTTCTACTGCGATTCCACCAAACAATTTAATATTATAATGCTACATAACCCTCATGTCTGGTGTCAGCTGTGACACAGTTGGTAATACACTTGCCTGAATCACAAGTCCCACATCTGAGCTTAAGAACAAAGAGGAAGGCTGTCAGAGGTGTTTGCTTTTGGCTAAAATGTTATCCTGAATCTCTCTCTCTAACTGTTTGAGTGATGTAAAATATGCCAAGTGATATTTTGAAGAGTAATCCAGTATCCTGGACAATATTTATCTCTGTCAACATTAGGGAGGAGTGCAGATAATCTGCTGATGGCTGTTTCTGTATTACAGCACCGACCCCTCTCCAAACAAATGCTTCATTGGCTGTAAAATGATTTAAGGTGTCCAGCAGTCTTAAAATGTACTAAATAAATGTTACTCTTGATTTTAGTTCATCCCATTAATAGTCTAAATGTACCTACCCTTGAACAGAACAAGGGAGTGCAGTCTTAACATTAGACATAGGCCATTCAGGAATGAAGTCAGGAAGCACGTTTTCTCTCAAAACACAGAAAACTTTTGCCCATGAAAGGCTGTGGATTCAGAGTAAAGTACTCAAGACTAAGCACAATAGATCTTTGTTTGTATAGCCAGATATGGTAGAACAAAGATCAAAGAATAGAAATCCAGGTACAGGTAGCCCTGATTATAATTAAAAGCAGGTCAGGGCTGAAAAGGATGAATAACCTTCCTTCTATTTTAACATTCCTACTGTTAGGTAATTTCCCTGTTTGGCACACAAGTGAGCTGTGAGACATTCCAGGTCTGGCAATAACTGATGTTTGCTTTGTTGTAGGGTGAGACTGTTTACCAAACAGTTGTTCCTGAACTGGACGACTCTGAGTTTGAAAAAGCAGTGACTCCAATAATTCAGGAATACTTTCAGCATGGTGACACAAAAGAGGTTGCTGTAAGTAACATTCCTGTTGCTATCCTATATCTTATTCTTGTTGTCTTACTTTTTCTCTGTTAATATCCTTTTCTTTATTTCTTTGTCTCCCTCTTTCTTTTTCTCATGCTCTTTTCTCTCTCCTTTTTCTTTCTTTTTCTTCTCTTTCTTCTCTCTCTCTCTGTGTTTCTCCCTCAACAGAAATACACAGTAGCAAATGGATTTTAATGTAGAGAGATGAGAGCTCAACTCTGAACTTAAAAATGAATAGTTCTCTTTTAAATGGTAAAATATAAACTAGCAATGGTAGTTCACTGAATCTCTCCAAAAAGATTTGGGGTGGCTATATAGGTCAATAAAGTGATGTAAGCAGGTTACAAAAGCTCAAAAGTGAGAGTTGGAAGTCTTACTTTCGCTATACAATGCCCTACTTGGATCACTGCCAGAGTTACTATGAGCAAGGCACTACACCTTCTGAAAGACATTTTGGCTTTGGAGTGCATGCAGTGATAATTTACCATATTATGCCTGATCTTGAAGGATTACATTATGGGACAAGATTAATATTGTTATTCCTGGGAATTTTGAAGGTGAAGGAGTGATTTGATCAAGATATATCTGGAGATATGAAAAGGATAAAGGTCAGATAGACAAAGAGAAACTTATGCTGATTGGGGAGCCTAGGACGAAGGGGCATAGTCTAAAAATTAGAGCCACACTTTTAAGGGAGTAAAATTGTAAAGTTGTGACTTCACCTGCTTAGGCTCTGAGCTCTGGAATTACCTCCTTAAGTCTCTACCTCTCTTACTGTCTTCATTGCTTTAAATTACTCCTTGAAACCTAAACCTTTGGCTACCTGTCCTAATATTTCCAGTGGTTTAGTCAGACATTTTGTTGATATCACACCTGACAAGGGCTTTGGATTCTTTATTGCATTTCAAAAGCACTATACCAGTGCAACCTGTTGTAATTCAGTCACTCATTCAGTTTGTTTCTCCCCCACCTACTTCACCCCCATAATTCTCCTAACAGTTCCAGTGGGACGCAGGGTAAAGGCAAATTGCACAAAGTCAGGTCGTGCCCTTGACAGGAGCCTGTGAGAGAATGCAGACGGGCATGTGGTGGCTCTGTGGGAATGGGCACAGCCTGTTTGCAATCGGTTCACACGACGAATTGAATACCTCTGTTGCACCGCTTTGCAGACCCTCCTGGCTCAGTTGAACCTCGGCAGTAAGAGAAGCAAGCTCCCATTCCTGTCTGTGAGCATGGCGCTGGAGGGCAAGGCTAGCCACCGGGAGCTGATATCTCGCCTCCTGGCCGACCTGACGGGCAAGCAGATGTCAGTCGAAGATGTCGCCTCTGCTTTCGACCAGCTGCTGAGTGACCTGCCAGACCTGGTCCTTGACACACCTGAGGCTCCACAGGTACGTGTGCTCTGCTTCCGTTCTCACAGGGAACCTGGTGTACTCCCCTTGTCATGTGTAGCAGTGGGTTCAAGTTGATGGCTGCTCTACACATGAGGTTGTCTAGAGGGATAGTGCTTCCACTGTACTCCATACTGCGGAACACCGCAACGGAGGCTGTTGGCCATGGTGAAACACAGAGGATCAGGAACTTGAGTGCTTCAAAAGTTTTCTGAATTCAGGAATTCGGAGAGAATGGGATTTTGGAGCGAGCAGGGATTCTGTGCGGAGGGGGAGAAGGTCATTGAGTCCACAGAACAGATAAGGGTCTTTCAGCCCATCAAGTCTGCACTAGTTTAAAACAAACACCTAACTATTCTAATCCCATTTTTCAGTTCTTGACCCATACCCTTATATGACTGCAAGTGCACATCTACTTATTTCTTAAATGTTATGAGGGTTCTTGCCTCTATTGCCCTTAAGGGCATTGAGTTCTAGATTCCCACCACCCTCTGGGTGAAAAGGTTTTGGCTCTCATCTCCTCTAAACCACCTGCCTTCCATTTTAAAATTATGTCCCCTTGTTCTTGACCCTTTGATTGGGAACAACTGCTTTCTTTCTACCCTGTCCATAATTTTATACACCTCAGTCAAGTCCCCTTTCAACCTTCTTTGCTCCAGAGAACATCCAGGTGAATCTCCTTTGCACATCTTCTGTTGCAATCACATCCTTCATATAGTGTGGTGATCAGAACTGCACACAGTGTGGATGAACCAAAGTTCTGCACAGCTTGGACATAATTTCCTTACTCTTATAATCTATGCTTCACCTGGTAAAAGTAAATGTCCTGTATGCCACTTTAACCACCCTGTTAACTTGTCCTGCAATATTCAGGGATTTGTGGACAAGCTTCCTGAACTTCCTAGTGTCCTGTCATTTGTTGAGTATTCCTTTGTTTTGTTTCTTTTTTCAAAGTGCATCACCTCACAGTTATTAGGGATAAATTCCATCTGCCACTGATCCGCCCATCAGACCAATCTACTTATATCGTCCTGTTACCTAACACCTTCCCTTCACTGTCAAACATCTGCCCAATCTTTGTGTCATCTGACCCCCACAATGTTCTCACCCTCCTCATTTATGAATATCACAAACACTAAGAGATTCAGCACTGGTCCCTGTGATACCTGACTGCACGCTGGGCTCCAGTCTCACAAACAGTCTTCTACCACAACTTCTGTCTCTTTTTACTAAGCCAATTTTGGACCCAACTGCCAAGACACCCTGAATCCCATGAGTTTTTACTTCTTTATCAGTCTCCCATGTGGGACCTTGTCAAAGGCCTTGCAGGAATCCATATCAACTATATTAACCGCCCTACGCTCCTCTTAAACACCTGGTTACCTCCTCAAAAAATTCCACCAGATTTGTCAGACATGACCTCCCTCTGATAAAGCTATACTGACTATCGCTGATCAAATCTTGCCAGGGTTAATTTTCTCCTTCACTATTTTCTTCAGTATTTTCCCTCCCACTGATGTGAGAGTCAATAATCTACAGTTGTTTGGTCCATCTTTACTACCTTTCTTGCAAAGTGGAGCCACATTAACTGCCCTGCAGTCCTCTGGTACCTACCTTTGGCCAGAAAAGATTTAGGGGTGTATCAGAGGGCCTGTTATAACCTCCCTAGTCTCCCACAACAGCCTCGAATACAACTCATCCGGACCTGGGGAGTTGTCCGTTCTTATACTTGTTAAAACCCCCAAAACCGCCTTGCTGTTTATCAGTCTTGGTGAATTGTATAACTCGAGCTGGGGATAGGACTTTAGACTAGATAGTGAAGATGGTGTTGGGAGATTCAGAAATCTGAAGAGAAAACTCAGTGTAGTAGATCAGTGCAGCCATTTGAGTACTGATGCATGAAACATTCAGAACAGGATAGATAAATTAGTGACCCCAATTGGAATGAATGTAAATTGTCTTTGTCACAATTAGAAAGACATGGTTACAAGGTGGCCAGGTTTAAGAAATAGATATTCCAGTGTGCAAACATCTAAAGACAGAATTTTAAAAAAAGAAGAGGAACAACACTGATAAGAAAGGACAAGAAAAGGATATTAGTAAGAAAGGATCTTGTCTCAGGAAGTAGAATCAATATGAATGAAAATTGGAAATGATAGTGTTCCAAAAATTCTCATGAGAGAAGTTTATCAGCACCCTAACAGTAGTTATATTGTTGGACAAAGCATTAAGCAGGAAATAATTGGCATATTGTAACAAAGGCAACATAATAATCATGGAGACTTTAACTTCGTATAGCCTGAATCAATCAAATGAGCAAAGATGGTGTAGTAGATTTGTTTGTAGAATGCTTTCACGACAATATGTTGTGTAACCAACTAGGATGATGTTACTTTGATTGCTCACTGCATAATGAGGCAGGGTTAATTCATAGTAAAAGATCTTCTGGGAAAATGTAACCATAATACAACTGAATTCCATATTAATTTTGAAAGCAACATACTTGAGTCAAAAACAAGATGATTTCCAATATCTGTGATATTTTGCTTTCATATTAATGATTGTGTGAAATCTCTGGTTAATATCACAGAAGCATTTGTAATGAAAATGGAATTGGTGCATTTGGTGGGTCTGAAAATCTTATGGCCTTAACCAAGTCTGGTCTGTGCTCATGCCATTTCAGTTGGCACTTGGAACAGAGCCATGGTACAGGTACAGCACCCTATGAAATTCTGATTGCAGGTAGTTGAGGATGTCCTGTGGGGATGACTTCACCTTAGTCAATTTTCTCCATGTGCATGCTCAACCTTTGTAAGATAAACTAGACAGGTCTAAAATCAGATGGCACACGAATCCTGATGCAGCACACATTTTGCTAACATTATTGAGGGTGAGGACGTTAGCAAACCTGCTTTGTTTGCTAATTGGTGGCACTGGACGCAGCCTCAAAGGCAACTTTGGAGGAAGAGGGTTGCGTTGGTGAGGCTAGGGTGGAAGGGCCCGTCAAAATGGTGACAAGACATGGGACACATGCACTTCAATGTGGGTATGTAGCCATTCTTCTAACTTAAGACCATGTATTGGTGTTAGTTCAAATGGTAAGGCCTGTTTTAAAGCTTTCCCTTCATTGTCTCTCCGCCTGGTTGACGTGTTTGTGTTTGTGTGCAGATGTTGGGCCAGTTCATAGCCCGTGCCATGGCTGACCATGTCTTACCCACTGGTTTCCTGGACAGTTACAAGGGGAAGGTTGACTGTGAGCAGGCTCGGTAAGCACTGACAGACCAGTGGATGTATCTGCAAGACCTTTGTTACTAAATTATCTGGTGACAGTTGGGTCTCTCTGTTCTTGTTATTCCCAAAGGTGTTGCATTGGAGGAAGCATGCTTGAGTAGAGCACAGATAGAGATGATGTTCTCCCTCCTCTCCTACGCTCTTACACTCCCTCCTGCTCTGTATCAGAGCGGTCTCATTCCCAATCCCGTGGCCGGGATCATTTAGTTTGAGTCACCTGAAAGTTGGAATAGTCCTCAACCCTTCTCCAGACACTTCCCCTTACTGCATCTGGAGAGGGGTTTCATGGAAAATTCAATCACATCCCCACTCTGAGAAGTGACTGCTAGCATGGTGATATCCCAAGTGAACTAGGTCAGACTGTAAATTTCATGGTGCAGTTCCAGGAATTGCAGTTTCCTGGAATGTAGGTGATTGCTGGGATCTATTAATAATATTCAATTTCATACATTCACTTAGACCTATGAACATAAGAAACAGGGGCAGGGGCAGGAATAGGCCATTTGGCCCATCTAGACTGCTCTCTGACTATCAATAAGATCATGGTTGAGCTAAAGTGATCTTAACTCCACTTTCCTGCCTGATCCCATAACCCTTGATCCCTTGTTGATCAAAAATCTGTTCAATTTGTATAATAGATTTCCTGATCCAGCCTCCGCGCTCTCTATGGGAGAGAATTCCAAAGACTCGGGATGTTCTGAGAAGAAATTCAAAATGTGCAATTCCTTATTTTGAAACTATGGTCCCTGGGTTCAGGACTTCCCCAGTGAAGGGGAACACCCTTCCAGCATCTACCTGTCGAACACCTCAGAATCTTGTTTCACAAACATCGGGGATTTAAGAACTGACTTAGGTAGAATTTGTGTAAATTTACAACATCAATCTTCTGAAAAGAAGGCGCATTTTATCTTTGTTTTTTGCCTTCGCATAAGGGCAATTGAGCTGATAAGTGCAGGATTCAAAGCTTTTGACGAAATGCCTTTTTCAGTAAGTTCTGTACTACTAAACTGTGCATAGATTTACAAGCAATTACATAGAGAACACATAGCATAGGAGGGGACATTTGGCCCAACTGGTCGATGCTAGCCTTTCTCCACACACTTTACTGCATCTCAACCCAAGAACACATTCTATTCCTTTCTCTGTCATGCGCTTGTTTAGCTTACCAATAAATGGATCTGTACAACTTGCTTCAGCCACTCTGCATGGTAATAGGTTCCACCTCCTCAGCACTCTTTTGGATAACAGATCTTAATCCTTTGTTGAATTTATCTGTGACTTTTTTTTAAAAATATTTCTGGCCCTGGGTTTTGGACGTCCCACAAGTAGAAACATCCTTTCTGTCTATACTGTTTAGCCCTTTGACTTTCCCTCTGTCTACTTTTTTTTTGAGCTTATGACAGTATCTCTGTTTTGGTTTCATTATTACAAATATATTTTTTGCCTTCTCTGTCCATCAGTGCCTCTGCATCCTTTTGAGGACATGAAGTTCAGAACTGAGCAGGTTCCATTTTTTCAGTTTAGTAATGATTTGTTTTCGTTGCCATCCCTAGGGATGGGTTGAGGAACAACGGCATTTGAGGGATCTGTTTGCTTGGATTGTGAAAAGCCAGTGGACAGGTACAAGTCTGTGCTAAAACTGGAAGCGGGGGACTCGTGGTGGGTTGGCAAGTTAGCAGTAACCCCACTGAGCTTTTGTATCTTCTCTCTCATCAGCATGGCGCTGGACAAGGCTGTGGTGCTCCTCAGCATGAACCGAGGAGTGCGGCTGGACAATGTCTGGGGGGTCGGAGGTGGCCTGAGACCTGTCAAGCAGCTCATTAAGGAGGTAAAGCAGGGATCATTGAGAGACAAGGAGCTAAAGGCTGGTGGAGATGGGTTAGTCAATGGAGTTCTGCAGTGGAAGTGGGGCATTTGGTCTGGGTGAGAGTGTCGTGTGGGGTTAGTTATAGAGTTATACAGCATGGAAAAAGACCCTTCTGCGCTGACCAGACATCCCAACTAGTCCCACTTGGCCCATATTCCTCTAAACTCTTTCTATTTGCATACCCGTCCAGATGCCTTTTTAAATGTTGTAATTGTACCCGTCTTCGCCACCTCCTCTGGCAGCCTGTTCCATGCATGCACAGACCTCCGTGGAAAAGTCACCCCTCAGGTCCTTTCCCCTCTGACCTTAAACCTATGCCTACTAGTTTTGGACTTTCCCACCCCAGGAGAAAGACCTTGGCTATTCACCCTATCTATCCCTTTATGATTTTATAAACCTCTATAGAGTCACTCCTCAGGCTCTGATTCTCCAGGGAAGAAAGCCCCAACCTAGTCAGCCTCCCCCTAGAACTCGGACTGTCCAGTCCAGGCAACGTCCTGGTAAATCTTGTCTCCACCCTCTCAAGTTTAACATCACCCTTCCCATAGAAGGGCAACCAGAATTGTACGCAGTATTGTGAAAGTGGCCTCACCAATGTCCTGTACAGCCACAGTACGAGTCACAGGGACTCTTCCTGTTCTAGCTGTGAAGGTGATCTTGTGGGATCTTGCTGTATACAAACTTGGCAGTTCTTCACATTACAGTTGTGATCACGTGCTGAAGGAAGTATTTCATTGACTATGAAACACTTTGCTGGACTGAGGTTGTGAAAGATGCTGTGTAAATGCAAGTTTTACTTTTGCTGGTGAATGCAGTGTTTAATGGAAGTTCTGCTGTGTACACTGACTAGTGTTAAGGAGCTGCAATAGCTTTAATCCTTCATACTGTTCACCAGATGACCCTGTTACTGAAGGAATATCTGCTGTCTACAGACTCTGCTGAAGCTGGGCTCTGTCTGCAGAACCTGGAGGTTCCTCACTTTCACCATGAGCTTGTTTATGAGGTATGTCTCACCAGATAGTCAACCCTCCTTGTTGCTTCGTCTGCTGATGCACATTCATCACTGTGTCGGTTGTAATCCCCATGCTCCCATTTTGCTTTGCTGGAAATGCTGGAAATCTAGAATAAAAAGAGACAACGCACAAAACAGTAGGTAAGGTGCTACTTGTGGAAAGACCATTGACCTGAATAATGAGTTCTCTCTTTTTTTTCCTTCTTTGCAGTTTCTGCCTGACCTGCTGAGCATTTCCAGCATTTTTTCCATTTCTACAGGATGTTGTCATCGGCCAGGCATTATCTACCTGTATCTCTGTGTCATTCCAGCCTTTCAACAACATCATTGTATCATTCAATGTCTCAGCCTCAATCCTGGTGCTTCTGTTGTTCCCATCTCACTACAACATCATTAACCTCTAATACTCTATTCTGCAGGCCGTTGTGATGGTTCTTGAGTCCACCAGCAGCAATGTCTCTGACCTGATTGTAAAACTCTTGAAGAGTTTCTGGGAGTCTGGCTTTGTAACTCTTGACCAGATGAACCGGGTGAGTTTACTGAATCTGCCACTGGGCTTCACAGGGTAAGGACATTGGAAACAAAGTCAATGGAAATCAAAGGGCTGTTCAAATGTTGTCTGGATGTTGTTTGATTCAATCATGCAGATGATCACCAGGCCAATCGTAGCTGTCTGAAACAGAGTTACAATTAGCACTCCACAACTTGGCCAATATTTCCTTTTCAAGTATTTATCCGGTTGTGGTTAAGTCTGGATAAGTCCAGTTTTGAAAATTACTGTTGAATCCGCTTCCATCATTCTTTTTATCTTCCAAATCATCACAAATTATAAAACCGTCCTCGGCTCCCCTTTCTATATTTTACCAACCACCAACTTTATCTCTCAATGACTGCTCTGTCAGTGTGGTTTCTGCATAGTTATTCTGTCTAGCTCTTCATAACTTTGAATACTGCTTATATTAATCACACCATCATGATTGTACAGCTGAAAATTCTCAAAGAAAACCGGAGTATGAAATGTACTCCACATTGTGGAGTACTTTCTTTAAAACGATCATTTGCTGGCTTTCAGATCATGTGTTAAAACATTGGAATGGTGAGGTTGGAGGGATAATTATTGACAATTTTAGCAATTTATCTAATTTTACCCTATGATCTTGTGATTTCCTTTTTGTTCCTGCCTATAATCCCAGATGATAACCTCAGCTAACATTAAGTTGTTGGACTGGCTGGAAGATGTTTCACTACAGTTATGATTATGTCTTGTAAATCTGATTGGACATGTTTTGGTGGGGCAGGGAGAAAGTAAAGCTCAGTAGCAAAGGAGAGAACACTCCATTTTAGAATAATGCAGCCTCTTGTTTCTCAGTGCCTCATTCTTGGGGGTGCTGTCTTTTGGATGCAATGTTAAACCAAAGCTCGATCTGCCTTGTCGTTAATGCCAAATATTTCAAAGAAGAGCAAGGGCATTCTCCTTGGTGTCCTGTCCAATGCCAAACCATCGAGCAGTAACTACCAACACTGATATCTGGTTGTTATCATAATGCTGCTTGTGGGATCTTGCTTTGCACAAATTGGCTGCTGTGTTTTGTATATTGCAACAATGGCTTCAGAAGCACTCGATGCCTGTAAAATGCTTTGGGATGTCCTGAGGTTCTGTATCTATATAAATGCTGCTGTTTGTATCCGTGACTTACTAAGATGCTATCTGCCTTTTCCCCTCCTCTTTTCCACAGGGATTCAAACGCGTGTTTAATGCTATGCCAGATATCAGTCTAGATGCACCAAACTCTTACAGCAGTCTGAAGAGTTTTGTGGACCATTGTCACCAACAAGGGGTCATCATCAAAGCTCTCCAAGATCAGTGCCCAACACGGTAGGATATGAAACACTGTACTTGCTAAGGAGAAATCTGGCACTTCAGAAATTGAATACCTTTGCAGGGTTTGTCTGAGCCTAGGAAAGCTCAAGCATCAGAAGGTGGAAACTTTGCAGCAAGTAACTCACCTCCTGACTCCCCAAAGCCTGTCGAGTATCTACAAGGCACATGTCAGGAGTGTGATGGAAAATTCCCCACTTGACTGGATGAATGTAACAACACTCAAGAAGCTTGATGCCATACAGGACAAAGCAGTGCATTTAACTGGCACCTTGAACATTCATTCCCTCTGCCACCGAGTCCATAGCAGCAGTGTGTACCATCTACAAAATGCACTGCTGAAGTTGACCAAGGCTCCTACAACAGCACGTAACAAACCCACAACCCTTGCTAACTAGAAGTACAAGGACAGCAGATACCTGAAAACACAATCACCTGCAAGTTCCTCTCCAAGCCACTCAACATCCTGACCTGGAAATAATATCACCATTCCTTCAGTATCTCTGGGTTAAAATCCTGGAATTCCCTCCCGAACAACATTGTGGGTCAACCTACAGCACGTGGATTGCAGTTGTTCAAGAAGGCAGCTCATCACCAACTCCTCAAGGGCACCTAGAGATGGGAGATAAATGCTCAGCGCTGGTCACATTCCACAAAGAAATTTTTAAAAAACTCAGGGTGGCACAGTGGCTCAGTGGTTAGCACCACTGCCTCTCAGTGCCAGGGACCCGGGTTTGATTCCACCCTCGGGTGACTGTCTGTGTGGAGTTTGCACATTCTCCCCGTGTCTGCGTGGGTTTCCTCCCACAGTCCAAAGATGTGCAGGCTAGTTTGATTGGCCATGCTAAATTGTCCACGTGTAGATTAGGTGGGTTATGGGGGATGGGCCTTGGGGGGATGCTGTGCATGTCAGTGTGAACTTTTTGGGCCAAAGGGCCTGTTTCCACACCGTAGGGATTCTATGATTTCCTAAATTTAGCTTTAGTCTGGGTGAGGCAGTACAATTGGTTTAAGCAAGTCAGGGCTAGGGTGGGGAAGAACTAACGGTGGTTCCTATTTGATTTTTGACTTGGTAAACTTCAGTCCCTTTTCCAACATTTCATCCTAATAGAAAGACCAGAATGAGCCAGTTTCACTGGTTCACCTGTTTGTTTTTCACATTTTGGAGCTCGTAGGTATATGGTATCACAGGGGCTGTTGAGGAACCAAGAGGTTTTGAGGCCTGGTACATAAATCAAAAACTCATGAGAAGACACCTAAAGAGAAGGAGTAGCTCATAGTATGTGCCCTTTCATGTTTCTGTACTCTAGAGACAAAGGGGTAGAAGTTATGTTTTGGTTGTACAGAACCTTAGTTAGATGTTATCAGGGATAACGCATTCAGTTCTGAGTACTATACCTTCAGAAGGTTAGTTTGTTAAGAACAATGTTGTGGGCTCCATACCAAACCTTTGCAGTCAGCTTTCCCATGAATAATGTTGGAATCTGAACATTTAAAGTCACTGTTTGATAGTCCACGGTCGTCCATATTAACTTGTGGCATAAACAACAGCTTGGACTCAATCAGATTCAGTGACAAGAACAAGTTCAAAGGTTGAAGGAGTGTGGACAGCTTGGGCAGGGGCTGCAACATATTGACACCTATTTGGGAAAAATGTTGAATTGGATGATGTAGAGGTCAAGAAGGGTTGTGGGGGCTGGAAGAGGTGACAGCAATAACATAGCCACTGAGGAAAATGGACATAAAGGTCAAAATTTTAAATTGGGGGCATTGTCAGAATGGGAGCCAATTTAGGTCAGTGAGCACGGACATGATGAGCGGATGAGACTTAGTGTGAGTTAGGATATAGGCAGCAGAGATGGACTAAATTTCACAAATATTGGACAGTGGAAGGCTGGGTTGGAGAGTGCTGGAATAGTCTGGTCTACTGTTGACAGCATCATGAGAAAGGGCTTCAGCAGCCAGAGCATTGAAGACAAGTAGTTGTTTTTCAGTGGTGCAGAACTGATGGGCCAAAGGGACTTTTTCTGTGCTGTAGGCCTCATGACTTTATGCTTTGTCCGAGGTTGCCCATAAGTGGAAACAGATTTCTTGCCTGTCTTTTAGCATTGACTTGTGAAGGTGCTCCCTTGTGGTAGAGTTCGAACCCTACAGAGAATTTCACATGAAGCTTCTGCTGTTCATCTAGACAAAGTGCCATTAAAAGTTTGACAAAAATTACTAAAATTAAAAAGTCATGATCATCAGGACAGATTGAATACTGTGGCAGTCTTTCTGCTAAAGATGCAAAGGCTGAGGGGTGATTTGAGATTTTTTTAAAATGATGACACACTTTTTAAGATGGGTGTAGAGAAGGTGTATCCATTTGTGGGAGAGCCCAAAACGACAGATTGTGCATTTAAGATCAGTGTGAGCAAGTCCAGTGAGAAATTTCTTCAGCCAGAGTGGTGAGAATGTAGGCCTCACTACAATGTGGAATAATTGTGACACATGAAACTGATTTAGGAAGATGCTGGATAAGTACCAGTGTCAGATATGTTTAATTTTAAACTTCTGTGGGTCTTCGCATTCCAGATGATATCTATAAAGTTGTTCTTGATGCAGACTATCACTTTTGAACACCGAAACAGGACAAGGCCATTCAGCCCATTGAGCCTGCCCTACCATTCACTGATTATGGCTAATCGAACACTGCAGTGCCTTTTACCCACTTCATCGCCATAACCCTGTACACCATTGGTAATCAGAAATGTATCGATCTTTATCTTAAACAGACTCAAACTCTAACCCTCCGTAACCCTCTGTGGTACAGAATTCCAAACGTTAGCAACCATCCGAGTAAAGTAAGTTTTCCCCATCTTGAAACTAGTGGGATCCCCTTCATTTTTAAATAGTGGCCTCTGGTTCTCAATTCAACCACCAGGGGAACCATCTTGCCTGTCTATCCCTTTTTTTTTAGGTCTCAATGAGATCACCTCTCATTCTTTGGAACTTTGAAAAATGCAAGCCAACTTTTCTCAATCTCTCATTAATGGACAGTCCCACCATCCCCGAAACAAGTCTGATGACCTATCTTTCTTGAGTTAAGGGGACCAAACTGCATGCTGTATTCCAGGTGCACACTAACCAAGCTCCTATACAACTGAAGCAAGACTTCACTACTCCTCCTGTAGTCAAATCCTCTTGCAATAAAGGCTAACATTCCATTAGCCTTCCTCATAACTTTTTGCACCTGAATGTTAACCTTCAGCGTCTTATCTACAATGACTTAGGTCCCATTGTACGTCTACACCTTCCAACCTCGTACCATTTAAGAATTGTTCTGCACATCTGTTTCTCACACCAAAGTGGATAACCTCTCATTTTCCACATTAATATTCCATTTGTAATGTTCTTGCCAACTCACCAAGCCTGTCCAAATCCTCCTGAAACCAGTTTTCATCTTCCTTGTAACACATTCCCTCGTAGCATTGTATCTTTTACATATATATATACACACACTACATTTTTGTCCCACCTGCAGATCATTGATATATATTGTGAACAGCTAGGGCCAGAGTACTGATCTTTGCAGTATCCCACAATCTGTCAACATGAGAATGATTAATTGATTTATTCCTACTGTTTTGAGAGTTAGCCAATCCTTAATCTAGGCCAGCACCTCCTACCCCATGTGCTTTAGTCTTTCTAATCAGCCTCCTGTAACAGACATTATCCAAAGCCTTCTGAAAATCTAACTATAGTCCACTCTCCTTTATCAATTTTGTTTGTAACATCTCCATCAAACACGATTTCCCATTTGTAAATCCACATTGGGCACAGTCAATCAGATCACCATCCAAGTATCTGTTTATCTCATGCTTTGATAGATTCTAGATTTCCCTACTGCTGATGTAATGCTGACAGGTCTGTAATTCTGTCTTCTTTCTTGTTCCTTTCTTAAATATTGTAGTGACAATTGCTACCCATGGAATCGTTCCAGAATCTAGAGAATCGGCTTAAAAGGTTGTTTATTTTCTATGTCCAATGTTTTGTTTGTTTTCTGTTTGGTAATTGTGGTATTCTTTCTGTCATCTATTCCCAGAGAAGCCAAGCCTGCTGTGAGTCAGGACAGGAGTAACTGCGTTGTGTAGGTTGACCAGTAAGAGACCTCCATAAGTCAGAATGGGTGCACCTCAGCAAAGTATAACGTATCTACGCCTGAGGTGCAGTGAGAGTTGCATCTGGGTTTTGTGGAATAAAAAGACAAGGCAAAGAACGAGGAGGCAGGAAGGTTCCTGTTAATTGGATTGCCTTCCTGTCATTGTTTTAATAATGGCAAACTTGCTAAAAATGTGCTTCTGAGCTCGGCTGTGCTGATCTGAAGTCGGGTCTTGGGCAGTCGGTACTCAAGGGTTCAGTATAGAACTGAAGCCAGTGGAATGTGAAACTTTGAAGTGTTTCCCATCAGGAATGAGCGTCAAGTAAAGTCAGACACTATTTCAGGATCTTGTTTTATTCTCGGCATGTTGCATGCTGCCATAATCAAAGGTCAGCTGTATAATTGGGGCATTTTATAATCTTTATGGCCTCTTGACAATAAAGTTTTACATTTCATTACTAGAATCTGATTTTTATTTTAATAACATCCGTGGGGCCACAGGTGGGTTGACCTACAGACCGATAGGGCCTGTGCCCCGGAGCAGAGAGGGTTAACACACAGAACAACAGGGCCTGTGCTCAGGAGTAGAGTGGGTTAATGTTGAAACCCTGTGCCCAGGGGAAGAGTGGGTTAACACACAGACCAATAGGGCCTTTCATGACTTCTGGATAATCTAAAGTGTTTGACCGTCAAAAAGTACTTTTGGAGTGCAGTCAATGCTGTGGGAAGAGTGGATTCTATTTTTCTCAATTTAAAAAAACAAAAGAACTACAGATGCTGTAAATCAGAAACAAAAATAGAAATGGATGGAAAAGGTCTGCAGGACTGGTAGCATCTGTGGAGAGAAATCAGAGTTAACGTTTCAGGTCAAGTGACCCTTCCTCAGAACTGATGGTAGCTAGCAAAATGTCAGTTATATGCAGAAGATGGGGTGAGGGGAAGGGGGTAAGAAGTGAATGATAGGTGGGGATAGACCCCAAAGAGAGGTTGGACAGACAAAGGAGTGGATAACGAATTTAAGCAGAAATTGCTGGAAAAGCTCAGCAGGTCTGGCAGCATCTGGGAAGAGAAATTAGGTAATGTTTTGGGTCTTGTGACCCTTCCTCAGAACCCTCAGCGAATATCGATATGGCTAGGAGGGTGAATAGCTATTAGTGGGGACTGTTTGTGGCTAACAATGGGTTGTGTGTAATAGCAGACTGTGTGATAACAAGGTCTGGTGATGTGTCTACGTTTGAGCCCTGGTGTCCCAGGAGAAAGGAGCACGGGGTGTCCAACAACACACTCGATGCCTTTAGGGAGAAGTGGGCACTGCGGGGGTGGGGGGTGTGTGTGTGTGCTTTATTTCCCCTACCAATTCTATTTTAATTTAGTCCCTACACTTCCCCTCCCTTTTCTTTCATGTGAGCATTGCACCTACTGGGGCTCTGCTTGTCACTGGTTCCTTGACCACATGGATATTTTTCTGGTGGTGGAATGTTAATAAAGTTATTTATATAGTTGGTGTTTTTCACTGTGTCCTACACCTACTCAAACACAACATGGGTGCTGGGGAACTTAAGCACTACTGCTGTACGGCAGTGGTATAGGGGTATGAAAAGAAAAAAAAACAAAAGGCCTGATGTATAGAGTGGGTTAATGGTGAGACTCTGTGTCCAGGGGAAGAGTGGGTTAACACACAGAGCAATAGGGCCTTTCATGACTTCTGGATAATCTAAAGTGTTTGACCATCAATAAAGTACTTTCGGAGTGCAGTCAATATTGAGTCTGGAGGGCTGCAGGGTCCCCGAGTAGAAAATGAGGTGTTGTTCTTCCAGCTTGCGCTGAGCTTTGCTGGAGTACTGCAGCAAACCTGAGACGGAGCTGTTTGCCAGGGAACAGGCTGGTGTGTTAAAGTGGCAGGCACCTGAAAGTCTCTTTGTTTTTTTGAAAATGTAATGCAAGTGTTCTGCAAAGCAGTCACCTAGTCTAAGCTTCGGTTCTTCAATGTGGAGGAAACTACATTGTGAGCAGCGAACGTAGTCGACTAGATTGTGTGAAACGCTGCTTCACCGGGAAGGTGTGTTTGGGCCCTTAGATACTGAGGTGGGGGGAAGGAAGTAAATGGACAGGTGTTATACATCTGTGGTTGCTGTGGAATGTGCCAGGAGGCCTTGGGTTGGGGGTGTAGCGGTTGTGGGATTGAAGGAGGAGTGGACCAGGGTGTTGTGGAGGGAACAGTCCCTGCAGAAGGCTGACCAGGGAGGGGAGCTAAATAGGTGACTGGTGGTGGCATCTCACTGGAGGTTGCAGAAATAGCAGCTAATGATCCTCTGAATGTGGATGCTGGTGGGATGGTAGGTAAGAAGAGAGGGGGTGAGGGCAGAAGTGCGGGAGATGTGTCGGACCTGGCTGAAGCCCTGTTAACAACAGTGCTAGGGAATCCTCGGTTGAGGAAGAAGGTCAGCATTTTGGAGGCTGTCTTGTTGAAGTTGGCATCATCGGAACAAATGCAACAGAGACAGAGGAACTGGGAGATTGGGATGGCGTCTTTACAGGAAGCAGGGTGTGAGGATGTGTAGTCCGGGTAGCTGTGGGAGTTGGTGGGTTTATAGTGGATATCGGTAGCCGGTTCATCCCCAAAAATAGAAACACTGATGTCAAGGAAGGGAAGATGGGGTCAAAGATAGACCAGGCGAGTGTGACAGCGCGTGGAAATTGGAAACGAAATCAATAAATCTTTCCAATTCCAGATGAGAGAGGGAGACAGAACCCTGGTGGGGGGGGTGGACATGTAGAAGGATTGCATGTTCGTGGTAAAGAGGAGGCAGCTGGAGCCTGCAAACTGGAAATTCTGAAACTGGTGTAAAGCGGCAGAGGAATCGTGAATGTAAGTGGGCAGGGACTGGACAAGGAGAGAAAAGACGGAGTCCTAGGAAGAGATGAGTTCTGTGGGACAGGAGAAGGCAGAAACAACGGGTCTGCCCAGGCAGTCCTGTGTGTGAATTTTGGGAAGGAGGGAGAATTGAGCTGTGCAGGAGTTGGGGGATGATCAGCCTGAAGGTGGTATGGGAGATCACTAGATGAAATGAGGCTTGTGACCATAGTTGATACAATGATTGATGTTCTATCATGAGGTCATGGTTCAGGGGGAGACAGGAAGAGGTATTGGAGAGCTGGTGCTCAGCCTCTGCATTGTAGAGGTCAGTTCGTGAGACATAACAACACCACCTTTATTGGTAGGCTTAATTACAAAGTCAGGGTTGGATCTGAGAGCATGAATTGCAGCCAGTTTCTGGGTGGATAGGTTGGAAGGGGTGAGGGGGGCAGAGAAATTGAAGTGACCAATGTCATGTTGACAGTTCTGAATGAACAGATTGAGTGCAGGTAAAAGGCCAGAGGGAGGGGTCCAGGTGGAGGGAAAGAATTAGAGGTAGGCAAAGGGGTCTGTGGGTTGGGGAGAGGACACTTGTCCAAAGAAATGGGCACGGAGGTGAAGGCAATGGAAGAATTCAATGTCATGTTATTCCCAAAATTTATTAAGGTGGGGATGCAGAGAGATAAAACTGAGACCATTGCTGAGCACAGAAGGTTCAGTATCAGAGAGTGGAAGGTCAGGAGGGATGGTGAATACATGACAGGAGGTGGAGTTGGCAGGTGGGTTGGAGTCAGAGGGAAGGGCAAGGGAGGAAGGTTCTGGAGGGCCTTGGGTATCTCTAAGTTGTTGCATCTTGTGGGCCTTGATGCCTGAAAGGAAAACGAAAAGTTTCTTGTTAGTATGTCGAATCAGCCGGAGGATGAAGTGGAATTGAAGAGTGGTGCAGCCCTGAGCCAGTGCGGTGCTATGCTGTTGGAGAGAGAGGTCAAAAATGTGCATATGATGATGCATGGCATTGAGTGTGGATCTCAGGATGCGGTGAGAGCAGCTGTCTGTGGAAGTTTGAACATCATGGAGACACCCCACTGTCACCTTCATCTGGTCCATCTCTGACTCCTCCCTTCCCTTCCTTGGCATCTGCCTTTTCATTTCTGGGGATACACTGATTACCAATGTCCACTATAAACACACCGACTCCCACAGTTACCTGGACTACACATCCTTGCATCCTGCTTCCTGTAAAGACTCTGTACCACTCTCCTAGTTCCTACATTTCTGTTGCGTTTATTCCAATGATGCCAACTTCGACAAGGGGGCTTCTGAAATATCCACCCTTTAACTCAGCTGAGGATTCCCCAGCTCTGTTGTTGACAGGACTCTCAGCCAGTTCTGACCCATCTCCCGCACTTCCGCCCTTGCCCCCTCTCTTCCTCCTGGAACTGCTATAGGGTCCCCCTTTATCCTTACCTACCATCCCACCAGCATCCACATCCAGAAAATTATTAGCCGCTATTTCTGCCACCTCCAATGAGATGTCACCACCAGATACACCTTTGCCTGCTCTCCCCTGTCAGCCTTTCACAGGGACTTTTCGCTCCAGGAAACCCTGGTCCACTTGTCCCTCACTCCCCTCAAATGGCACCTTCTGCTGCAACTGCAGAATGTGTAACACCTGTCCATTTATCCAGTATCCAAGGGCCCAAATACCCTTCCAGGTGAAGCAGCGTTGAACCTGCACTTCACATAATCTAGTCTACTGCATTCGGTGCTCACAATGTGGTCTCCTCTACACTGGGGAAACAATGCGTAGACTGCGTGACCGCTTCACAGATCACTTGCATTATGTTCGCAAAAAAGGCCCTGAACTTCCACTTTTCTGCCACTCCAACACATCACTCTGTTCCCTGGCCAACATCTCTGTCTCAGGTTTGCTGCAGTGCTCCAGAACAGCTCAGTGCAAGCGGGAAGAATAGCACCTCATTTTCCACTTGAGGTCCCTGCAGCTCTCCAGACTCAATATTGACTTCAAAAACAAAGTTGCTGAAAAAGCTCAGCAGATCTGGCAGCATCTGTGAAGGAGAAAACAGAGTTAACGTTTCGGGTCCGGTGACCCTTCCTCAGAACTGTTCTGAGGA